GGGGGAGGGGAGGGGGGCAGGGTGGGTTTTGGTGGAGTGTTTTTGAGATTTCAGAAAATACAATTGTTTAAAAAAAAGCAATGCAGGTTGCAACAAATTTATTCTGTCCTATTATGCAAGGACAAGAAGAAATATAGATGGATTTAGGGAAGATCAGGGTGCTCTGATATCTGCAGCACAAGGATTAAAAACCTAGATTCTGATGGCTTTACTAAAAATATATCTTCTTGAAGTTTTAAAATTCCCTCCCCTCCCAAAAAGGAAGAGAGAGTCCTGGTTACAGAAGTCCAGTGTCGTTCAACCCAATTTCCCATGCACTGTAGAAAAACCTTGGCAGGATAAGAGGAACTTCCAGCCTGTGGGATTATATGAAACCTCTTCTGCCCCTGATCACAGACAAGAGAGATGCTCACAATATACTTTTTTCCCCTTTGTCTGAAACAAGAAAGAAAAATATCTTTAAGCTAAATTTAAGGCACTTGTCTGAGTATTGTCTGAATTCTTCTAATACAGTCATATGACTGTAGAAAGCAGCAACGGAACACTTCCTAAAGCTACTTACTCCATGCTGCTCTTTCAGGAGTACTCTGAACCTTTGTCTCCACATTCACTGTGGCTGAATTGCAGATGCTTATAGATAAGTCTACAACCTTCACACCTTGAAATGAGGTTAAAATGTAGTTAGTAATTTAGATAATTTTCAATAAGGTTTTAGTAGTACTAAACTGACTAAAACATACTCTAATGCAATATCAGTAAACAACTGAAATGTACAATCAACTCGGAACGCACCCTCTGTTAAGCAAATTAATACTATAATGTATAAAGCTAATTAGAACATAATATATCTAATTGTAATTGGTTATTTGTAGTACTTACAATGACTTTTTACAGTATAACATAATGCAAATGTAACACTATCAAGAAAAATATACTATGCTTGCTGTTAAAATTGTATGGTTTTTTTTTAAAAAAAGCTTTTTGTTATTTCCGCAAGGAATTTCCCTCAGTTTCAAAAACTTTATTGAATTAAATTTTTCTGTACTTAGTAAGTTCTAAATTGAAAATAAGATACAGTTGCTAAAAAGTTTATAATACTGCTCCTTTCTACTACTGTTTTTCTTTCAAGATTTGGAAAAAAGGTACCTGTTTCCTTCTTAGCAAATATGATGTATGTTTATACTTACAGTGGGTTCTCACAAACTTGTAAGAGGACTACCTAAAGAGAGCACTCCCAGGGCTGATGACACATCGCTGGATTTCCAGGAGACTGTCTCCTTGAAAGAAAGAATGGCTATGTACAAGGCTGCTGTGTCCAAGATAGAGAGTAGCAACTCCTTTGCTCATGTAAGATATCAATGGTTCCTTATCTTCTTAGCTCTGTGTTTGCTTTGCATTCTTTATTTATACAAGCTGACTGATGGACGACAACGGGGATCAAAATTTGAAACCTAAATTACCAAATCTACTTAGCAAACGTATTGATGCATCAGTCTTTGTCTCTACTGAATGAGATTTTTCATGCTATATGCCTTTGGTCATTTGGACAATTCCCTTTAATTCATTGGAAGGACTGTTCTTTTTATTCCACTGTTGCATGAACTGCATTTATTAGGACCATAAGCTTGAGACAGATTAGCAACACAGTTATTCTTTCAGCTCATAATGACAAAACCCAGCAGTTTCTGCATTACTAAAAATATTACCAAATAATAAAATCATATTCAAAAGCACATTAAGTTTAGACCTCTTGCTATTCAAACTATTCAAAATTGCTGCATTTTAAAATACCAGCTTTATGAGACAAGGTGTATGAAAAAGTGTTGTTTTATAATAAAATTATTAAAAAATTGGCATTATATGAAAAAGTATTTAGAAAAAAACTTTTTTTTTTACTCACCTCTCTACATGTCTATCAATAGGGATTAGATATTTTACAGCAAAGTTTAATATTTATACCAAGTAGCACATAAAGTATTTGGCTAGCAGAATTTATAATCTATTAAAATAGAGCAAGACCACTTCACCACACATTTAATTATCAGTCAGGAATATCTGAAAATCGGGTCTTCAGAAAAATCAGGAAAATCTGCCTCAGTTTTGCAGAAATACTAAGGGGTAAAAAGTGTATTTTTACCATATCTTAAAATCCTACCTAGAAGTTGTAGCTCAATCCCCTCGTATCAGGAAATGGAGGTATTACCTTGGCTTGCTACAATGTTAGAATGACAATGGTCTTTGTTTATGCTAAACTTTCAGCACATGGGAAGAACACTTTTTTCTTACTGTAAACTAGGCCAGAGTAATTTCTGTAAATCAGAGAGTATCTGGCAAAAGAAGGACTACAATGCGGCTCTCACCAGCCAGCATCTTTGTCCATATAGAAGAAGAGCTGTAGAAGGGTTCCCAGTCCTACCTGCACTTTGATCTGCAGCAGCTGAAGGGACCTTCTGGGTGCTTGGATAGCCCAGAAGCCACATAGTGAAAACAGCCACCAGCCACACTCATCAGAGTCCAGGTGTCTTCCAACCACCAAATTCCTGCCTGCTGACTTCCTTATTGCCTAATTGCCTGTGTGTATTTGGAGCAGATTCCTGCAGTTCACCTGGCTGAGAAGATTCTAATTCCCTACTCCTGTAATTTGAAACATTGCTGAAGTTAGTACTCTCTCTCAAAAAGAACAGAACTGTGTGAAGCCTGACCCAACCTAACTGTGTTGACCACATAGGAACTATTTCATTTACACTCTGGAACTCCTCGCAATTTCTTGTTGAAATGGATGGTTGCTGAAAAATGAACTGTATATCCCATTAAAGGAATTAATACGTTTCCTTAAATGACCCCCTCTAACTACCTCCAAATGCTGGCAAGGTGTGCCTGAAATGGTCATTCACTAAAAGAATTACTTTTCACATTCACACATCCATGTACATATAGAATCATGCCACCTTCATCACAGGGGAAAAAAAAAAAAAATCTGTTTTTTATGATCTGCTTATTTACTCATCAGGAGTAAGCACTAAACCTAAGTTTACTTAGTAATGTTCATTACAAGGCTATTTCTAATTATTGGGTGGTTTATTTTGTACATACTGATTATGAAGCTCAAATGATGAAAGCTTTGTTCTAGATGTAACACGTAAGGGACAGAACTAGAACAGGGAGCCTAAGGGTAAGGGCACTCTTATGACCTTCGGCACTGTTGTTAGTGAAGAAAGATCATCTCACAAAGGCCTGCTTGAAGCTCTCTGCATGTTTTTCAACAATACCTATTGAAAAAATACAGAGAGGGCCAGGTGGCAATTCTGAATGCAACAGAACTCAGGATAGACAAGTAGAAGAGGGAACAGCAGAGAAGGATTGTTCTGCAAAGTGATTGTTACTGACCTACTGACCTACTCCTTTTGGTGCTAAAGATTCAGGCCAAACATGCACATTTTTCAAGTATACATTGGCCTGTAGTTTTCCAAATCACGATGTATGGCTCCTGTGCAGTGGTCTATGAACTTGCCAGAAACACTATTTATGATTGTCTGAGTCATTCTTGCAAAGAGAGAGTATTACATGGCTGAAATTACATGGCTGATCCCTGAAACTACAGAGGAAACCACTGAGTCCTCAGACACTAGTTTAGGCAGAGATGAATGTGCACCTACACCAGCAGGATCTATTTCACACAGGCGCATTTAGCAACTAGTGTTAAATAAATTCTAGATTGCAAAATTCCAAAAGAACTTCATAATTTGCAGGTCTTAATTTTTGGTTGACAAGTAAAAGTCCTAAAATGGGACAATGAGATTCAACATTTAATGTTAACAATATGTATATGTTTTGTATTTTAATGACAACACCTGAAAAAATAACTGTCTTATTAGAATCATAGAATCATAGAATCATAGAATCATTAAGGTTAGAAAAGACATCTAAGATCATCGAGTCCAACCGTCAACCCAACACCACCATGCCCACTAAACCATGTCCCTAAGTTATTACTGTATCTATTCTGAATGCTAATGTTAATTCATGTGTGCTGTTAAAATAAGTAGGGTTTACAGATTACATCAGTGGAAGTTGTCTGTAAGAGGCTACAGACATAACCAAGTGATTCCAAATTTTCCATTTATAAGCATTGTAGCATACTGTTACTAACTACTTTTTAAAAAATCAGCTCGTAGAAGTACATTCTTAGTGCAAATGCAAAACAACTGGCCTTATTTTACCACTCTAGACTTCAGAGAAAACCAAGTTCTGTACTGTGCCCGGTGGCCTGGCAGCAGTGAGGAAACAATTTGAGAGAGTGCAGATGACCTCTTCACAAAAGACCTTTGCTCAGTACCAGCACCAGCACAAATCTGTACAGGTAATAATAGCATTTTTAATACTAACAAATGAAGTATGCCCTGCTAGATAGCTTGAGGAAAAAAAATGATTGTTTGCTTTACTGAAGAGTTTTCATTATGACTAAGACATTTCCTTAATGTTCATACTCATAGAATTTTCTCTTTGAGATATACTACAGGAATCATATATTTTTTTGTGCAGACGAACACTCAATATAGGCAATACTAGACTTACAGAAAATAGATGAGTAAAGCGGATTACTACCATAGCAGTATTTTATACTGAACCTTGTCTATAGGACTGTAATTCGTTATCAGGTATCATGGTAGTATTTTGCATATATTGCACTTGACATGATGTTAAACCATTCTCTTTCAAACAGAGTTTCCTGCTTCCATTGAATTAAATCTAATCAACTCCCCTAAACAGATCAAAAATTGCACAGAAGAACCCAGATGCTACATAAAGGTAGAACGAAGCAGCAGCTAAGTGTTATTTTAGAGAAAAGGTCTTTACATTTTATTACTTCATTAGCATATACCATGAAAAATTGTTGTAGGAGATGATGATTTTGGACTATGTGAAACCCCCTATAATAAAACACACTGCACAATCTGTCCTGTGCGCTCTGAAAAACAGTAATGGCACAGTGAATTGCTTTACCATCCTGCACTTCTTGGAGAGATTTTTAAGCAATATTGCTCTCCGACTTTGTAGAACAGGACACATCAACATTCTGCCATAGGTTCATTTTCATGTTAAATAAGTATCATCATATCTACCCGTCATCTCTCATTTCTTACACATTAATACCGATATCAACAATTTGCACAAGACAACAAGCAAAACTCCAGTTTGTAGGGGAGAAGACATAGTTTGTTGCAGATGTATTAAAGCATTTTTAACTAAACAGAAAAATCCCATAGTTGGACATAATCATACTGGAGCATAATCCTTGGTAATAGGAAGTGTTACGCACATCCTTTTTTGATGATGTGGTCCAACCTAGCTGCCATTTATCTGTGTGAAGAAATGCAGAACTGTGTGCAGAAATTATGTGACTTTTTCTCTTACTCAGAACCGAATAATTTCATTTCTATGATGTGAAGATGCATTTTCCCTGGCCTAATAGTGACATCTAGTTCTCCACACAGCTACTATCGTGGTTCCACTTATTCAACAAAGATGTGACCTCTAAGCATACTGATCCATGCATTTGTCCTCTGTGGCTAGTTGAGGAGGGTCTCTCAAATTGTCATAGAAATAAAATCACTCAGACTATATGGACCAATCTTTAAATTGAGGTTAAATAACTTTTACTGCAAGACCATAAAATCCCATTTCTATCTAACATAACTGCACTCTCATGGAAAATGGGATTATACACTTAGGTAGTTGAAAGATTATTCAAGGTCACTGAATCAATCCTGGGGCAAAACAGAGAAATCATGTAGTTTGAAGACAGATCTCCAGATCTAGATAAATTCAAAGTATTAATCCAAGCTAAAATAATGAAGCAATTCATTTTGTAAACAGTAATCTAAATAGCTGAACATTTTACTACATATTCAATTATTGCATAAGGAGTGCATGGCTTTTCATTCAAAATATTGACATCAAATATGCAAATAATAACTATTTATCTTTCTGTTTTTCTCAGGCAGCAGCCATCACTCATAGCTCTCTTCATTGTAAGTTCCTTGTGAGAGGTGCCATATTACCAGTAGGATGCACTAAACTCTTGTCCAGAATGGTGAGCAGCAATGAAAACTGATCACAGAATTGCCATGTGCTCACAAACTCAATCAGAGTTTGTTTAGAGACCTGGTCTTTAACTTGACCACTGGCATCATGAGCACCTTTCACCATCAGCCACCAAGCTGAGAAGAGGTCATGAGCTTCAGTGTTACTGTTCTGCAAATGCTGGCCTGGAGTGGTTTGCTACACCAGCTCAGCTAGCTAGCCGCTCAGAGAAAGTCTCACTATCCAGTGTCAGATACAAGCCCTTTCTGGCAAGTGAGCTGAACCTCCTACATAGGAAGGATGAGTGGAGTATATTGAAAGTATCTGATATTCACTCAACCATATAGTATCGTGTGTCAGGAATGACACAGGTATAGCTACACCTCCTTCATTGAGGGTCATTCCAGACAAATTTTCTAAGATTGCTAGTGTAGCAATTGCCAATTTTCTAGCAATTGCAGGGGATAAGATTGAATAACAGGACAGTGTTAGTGAATGGTGAAAACCTTACCTTTTTATGAAAATATTCCATATAGTGCCCAAAACACCCTAAGTATCTATATACAACTAAGCAAGGCTGACAAATCATAGAGATGAAGTGCAGAGAAGTGAAGTTCTTACAGGAAATTTCTGCAAGACTCTCACAGTACTGATGCGCAGATGATACCGTGATAAGAACATAAATAGGTAAAAAAGCGTAGCTTTGAGGAAGAAATAAAGATCCACACCAAGTAAATGTTACTGATTTTGTAACTGAAGCTTTAGGCTCACAATTTACTTCCACTGCTGCCTAAAGGGAACTGCAAGTTTGAACATACTGATCATTTAGAACAGTAAGTTCCAAATATGCTGATACGTAAATGATACCGTATTAGCCAACTTCCCACAGAGCTTATATGATGACCATAATGTACAGTTCAACTAAAAGCAAAATGCTTCAAATGTGAGAGAGTAAAAGGCTTTCTTGTGCTTGGACAAGCTTTTGGGCCATTTGATCCCCTTGAACAATACATACACACATATATAGAATTGTATACACGTTTTATGTACATATGCATATAACATAGCATACATATTCTGGAATTCAAAGCAATTTTATTTTTGAACAGGAAAGTATGTTTTGTTTGTTGTCAGAACAGAAGGAAACTGCAAAAATGTCAACACAAAAAAGCAAACCTTGGTCTAAAATACACAGAACAGTTACTGAAAATTCAAATCTTGGAACATTTTGCAATAAGAATTCTATCTAAATTATTGCAGCGCTGAGGCACTAAGATTGATGTATGGGCCACTAACATATAAAACGCGTGTAGCAATTACAGTTTTCTTCAGTAACAGAATCTGAATGCCTACATAAAAATGCACTCCCCTAACAAAACGTATAGAGACATTCTCAGATTTATATCTTTTTTTTAAAATAGTACTGTTTTAGGTTAAAATGACTTATTATCCAGAGACACAACAGGACACTATAGCCCTCTGTATTAAGTACCATACAGATATGCATGGGAAGGCCAGCAGCCCCCATAAAGGGTGACTTGAAACAAATGGAAGAGAATGGAGGGTGACGGAAGTCTGAAATAAAAAGAAAATGACCATAAGAAATGATTCGTGAGCTAGCAGCATCCCAACAATCATCCAGCTGACAGTGTTTTCTGAAGCTCACGCATGTTATGGCATAGAATAAACAAAAAGTAATTGAAAGGTGATTCTTGGGGCACGGGAAAAGCAACCGTAATAATTGCCTTTTCACTCTTGCCACCAAAAATGACTTTGAGTTCTCTGTCTGTCCTCCTCCCCTGCACAGATGGAGTGGTGCTGTTCCCTCCTGACACCGCGATGGGGGATCTGGTTGATTAAATAACCTTGCTTGATTTAATAATGCACAGTACGGCAGGAATTGTGTATTCCACAGAAACAAATAAAGGGATCAAGTTCCCACAGGCATAACTCTTAACTAGTATTAAATCTAGATCATAATCTTCAGCCACAGTCCTGCATTGGAGGCACAAATTATCCTGCTTAATAAGATAAAAGCAACCTTATCCCATGCAGACCATCAAATAATTCTACAGAATATTCTCCAAAATCTACAAAACATGCCACAAACTCTAATTGGGTAGACTAAATTAATCCTACCTACAGGATATCCTATCCTATATCCAACAGTTGGCCATTACAGAGGAGAGATGAAATCACAGGTCTTCCTGCTCTCCACTTATTTGGAATAATAAACAAGCAGCATTTTACCCTCTGTCACTGGAATTTCAATTAGCCATCTTGACAGACACACAAAACACGAGAACCTCCAAGTTGCTCTTCCTCCCTGCAGGCCCAGAGCAAGGCCATGTAATTATATTGTCAAAATCTGGCCCATAATGTTTAGGCTGCATTTTAGACGACCATAGCTGTCGCATTAAACGATTATGATCTTTTGCAATATAGCAACTACTTCATAAGCAGTACCAAAGTTACAGCAATAAAGCACTAGTGACATTCAGATTAGATTTGCTTCCTGACTACATTAAGCCTAATTATATTCCTTTTTAATATGCCACACCATTCAAAGGACACATAATGACTATCATGAACATATTTCGTGTCTCATGAATGAGCTTTTCCAGTAATGAGAGCTTGACTTACATATCTAAAACATGCACATTAGAACAGAAAAGCATATCTTAAATGAAAAAAGCATATATATGCATAATACATTGAAAAGCATATCCATATAAAATGAAAAGGCATATTATACATACACCTACACACAGTCAGTAAACAGAATAGATGGAAAAATTTGCACTTCATTGTCTTTGAACTGCCTCTTTTCAGCTTGGTATGGGGTTGGCTCTACGTCTCCTCATGTTGTGCAGCTCCCTCACAACTGTTACACATACAGAACTTTGCGAGTGTAAACCATGCTCTGACCTGCTCTCCTCAAGCCTCACCTCACTTTGACAGTTCACTTTGCAGTAGACAGGATTAATTTTGATACTGGTAATGCACTAAAGCATTTACTGGGCCAGTAATCAGAAAATTTATTCTACCTTTGTTCATATGATTTTAATTCATCTTATAGTTGAAACAGGTGAATTGGCAGCACAGAGGTGGAAGAGAATTCCTAAAGCCCATAAAGGGGATGCACGTTGTTTCTCTGCCATAGAACCTACGAGCCCTTGCTGCCTACTGTATGGCAGAAATTATGGGCCAGGCAGTGGATGCTCCCCTATATTGATTCAGCAGAAATGTTAGTGGAGATGCAAGCAGTGTAAGCATTCCTTAGTTTGAAGGTGGAATAAATCCCGTAAATACACGCTTTGTCATGGGATGACTAAGGGAGAGAGCTAATTTCTTGCCCCACAATTAGCTGGATTTCAAGGAGGTGCCCGGATATGAGATGCAGGAAGCCTACAGCTCTCTGTTGCGCTAGATGTATAGCAGCAATCTCAGAAACACAGTGCTGCCTCCATTCACATTCACATTACACTGAACGCTTGGGAAGCTCTTGCTGGAGGGACCAGAAGCTCCTTTCATTTGAAAGCTTATTATCAGTAGAAACTAATAGGCAAGCTTCCGTCTCACAAAGGAAGAAGAAAATTTAATTTGACATGAGTGAAATTATTTGTTAGATGTCTCTGTGTGCATGGTAGTGTGCAAGAGAGAGGAAGCACAGGACTGATATCCTAATAATATCATCCTTAGGATTTATTTCTTCTAATCACTAAATCTCAAAATACTCCATGGATACAGGTAATGTGATGTAACACAGGTTCTGTGACAGGCTTTAAATAAGAAAACAAATCACTGCCAGAATCTGGAGTCAAACTAGACATAGATAACCTCAGAAATTAGTTTACACGGACATCTTGGACAGTGCTTTAAACTCTCAACGATATGCTCTGTTTATTACACTGCAGTTGTCAGACTTGTAGATACAATGCTAGCCTGTGTATTTTATAGGATGTTCTGGTTAGCCTATGGGTCATATTTTTCACAAGTGCAATTCAGCATGATTTCTGCATCACAAGAGTTGTATAAAGCATATGCAGGAAGTCAGCATCTCTTATAGAGACATATTATTGTACTTCTTTTTACAAAGTTGCATTAGCCTCATGCCCGCTAATAGGTAACAAGTTGATGGCACAGCACATAAAGTCAGAACCAGTCTTCCTAGTCACCTTCGTCCCCTTACAGTCTAATTATACATTGTACATATTCATGCAGCTTTCCGTGTCTGCTGGTCAAAATCTGGCTGCAGTAACAGAAAGGACTTGACATCTTGTGTGTCATAAAAAAGCCTGTTCCAATTTTTACGGCAGCAAATATCAATCATAGTAACAATGGTACTCTGCTGTAAAATGACTGTTCTAGTTACACCACTTACATTAGAATTTATTTGTGAAGGCCCTCCATAGGGAAAAAAAAAAAAGAAAAATCCAATTTACTATTAGCTGTTAATGTGCCATTATTTTTATTTGTCTTTAGGAAACGTCAAGTAGCAGTCAGCACACAGTATCAAGCAGGACCAGGGAAGCTAAGTGCAACGAAATGTCCTCCAAAGAAAGTCAAATGGAAGCCTCTCAAACACAAGAGGTAACTATATCAGTTAATAATTATGTCATTAGACAATTATACTGATGCTGATACATATCTTCTTTGCTTCTTCTTCCTTTACAACTTGGCACAGCAAGATCTGGATGTTCTGCTGATAGCCTCCCTCATTAGGGAGTGCATAATAATTTTTTAAGATGTTTTATTAAGTGTTTTTAATTTTTTTTTTTTTAACATGGTAATTAATTAGGTTTCCATTCATATTTTTCTTTGATGTAACATTTTAAATACAGTTGCAGAAGTATGGAAAATTCTTACATATTGCATTAAATCCTGTAGTAAAGTGAAGGTTTTGTGCACAGGTTTCTCATCACGAGCAAGTTACTCATGAGATAAAAATGGCTTCTACGTTCATTGAGCACACTGATGAAACAGGTAAGAATTGGCATGAGAATAAAGGCTCACAAATGAGCAATGTCTTTACTCACAGAAATGTACCTTAGCATACAAGTGCTCTTAGCATACAAACATGAAAATGCACATTGCTCCGAATTCTCAGCAAAGCACGTTCAGTGGGACTTCAGTGGGACTTCAGAAATGAGTTTAGAATTCGGTGTGAAGAGATGGCTTTTGCATAAGGAAGTGGTTTTAAACGTGTGCTCAGCAGCTTAAAAGAACTGGGGACTTGAAGAATAGTCTGAAAACACAGGCAAACACGAGCCCACATATATAAAAAATTCTGGATGAGAAAGGTTCAATTTATAGCTGAACTGAATAGCCCTACAGAATATGACCACAGTGTTAAGACACTGCTGCTGCTGCAGTTTAGTCCCGGTGTTAGAATTCACGCATTATATTCTCCCACAGACCCCAGTCAACCTTTAGCCCTGCCACACCACTCAGGTATGGCAAAACAGTAGGTGGTAACATGTCCCTCAACAACTAGTCTGCCGTTCTCTCTGCGGATTTCTGTTCATGATCAAGTGACTCTCTCGACTTCTGCAAGGCTAAGTACAATTTTTCTAACGTAATCATGTTTTGTAATTCACTGATAAAGTCAGTTTCATAAAATGCAGGGTGGCGGAAAAATGATCTTTTTTATTCTTCTTTCATTGCAGTAATTAATGCAGCTCAGAACGAAGAGCTCCCAAAAACTGTAACACAGATTTTAAAACAGCAGATTGAAAGGACAGCTCAGGAAAAGGCTGTTCACTCTGACAGAGAGACTGCAACACCTGCAAAAGAAGTAAAGGTCTGTGCTTTTAATAAGAGGGATCTTTCTTTATGCAAATTAGAAGTGGTGAAGTTAAGACATTGGTCCATCATGCAGTCTGAATTTCTATTTTGACTAATTGTGATTAAAAATGTAACCTATGAAAGTGGTGGGAATATATGGACTTTAGGAATTAAGTTCACGTAATGTAATAATAAGTACATTAGAAGGCTCAACAAGTACTTACAGTATGTGACAAACACAATTAAAAGTAGACCCTTATAAAAACTTTTAGATTCCTGTCTCCTCTTTCCTTGTCTTGAATCTATAAATACGTATAATTTCTGTCACCACAGCTTCTCAGAAGCATGTATTTTATGTGAACTAAGACGTTTATACAAACTTTTCCAGCCACAATTAAGAAAATGCTTAGAGAAACATTACCTGAATTAGGCTTCTAATATTTTATCAGATGAATATGAAACATGGAATATGATGTCAGATGTGCAGCAGGCTAGATATGGCTTTGCCTTCATCATTCAGATGTTCACAAGACCAGAAAAACAATGTTGAGAGTGGCGTGAAATCCACAGAGGAGAGGTCCTCTCTATAAGATGGGTCTTTGAGAACCAGCCTTTCATTCCAATTAAAGATGAACCGCCAGACCCAGACAAAGCTAGAAGCATTGCAGACCAGGAAACCATTGCAGGTGGAAATGTTAAATACATAGCCTGAATGTTTCAGACGCAGCCTCTTGATGCACTGCGTGCACATGCTCCAGGCTCTGCAGGAACTATGGACAAGGCTCTTGCACTAGTTAGAGGAGGTGTTCACGCAGTCACGTGGATGTTTGAAATGCAGGCACTGGACTCTATGAGGGACAAAAAACAGATGAAACTCACATCCGAGAAGTTTCTAGTGGTGCTGTAAAGACTCTGAGGCACATGCTGGAAGCACAGAACCTGAATAAACTTGGGCAGCTCTACCCAGCGGGTGTGCTTAACTTCTTGCAGCTGAACCTGAGCTGAAAGAGCTTAAAGGAAGTGTGAAGAAAAGCATAAAGCATTTTGAACCTCAGCCATTGTCTGTTACCAGAGACAACTTTGGTCAAAGACTGGAGAATGAAGCTGTCCATAGGGAAGACACTGAAAAGAGGCACATCAGAATAGGAGACAGGACAGTTGAAACGCAGCCTTTACCTGTGATCAACAAAGACCTGTTGGAAATTAAAGTGGTACATGGAATCTCAGTGGAGAAAAACATGAGCGGTGCTGTGCGCAAGGCGAAACAGTTAGTTGAAACACAGCCTTGGCACTCAGAGGATTCAGAGGAATTAAGTCCAGCTGAAACATCATCACAAAAATCAAACAAGCAAGATCAAGGTCCCGCACAAGATGCAGCAGTCCCTGTAACACCATAGCAAAGCACCCTTTCTGATTCTGAATTTGATGGCAATGATAAGCAAGTAGTACAAAAATATGATGCAGGAATTCAAATAGATCTCCATGAAGACCAGAAGGCTGAGAAGCTGAAGAGGCAGGAACTGTTGTGAAAGCCTCTAGCTACTATCTCTTCCACCACTATGAGGATAATGCTACAAGAGCTATCCTACTGAATTATATAGAGCAAAATAAAAATAAAAATAGGTACTAAAATGAAAATAGATATTAAAATTAAAATAGCATTACTGCTGTATTTGAGAAATATTAATATGCTAGAAAATGTGCACAGAATGCACCTGACATGCTTAAATTTAATGCAACATCCTCTTAACTGAGGTAAAATATTGCCTGTATAAAATAGCTCTAGAGATAAAATAATGGTCATGTGTTGTGCACATCTGTTTTTAGTTTATTAAAGCACAATATGTGACTTAAGACAAAGTGAACTACGTTTCCGTGGGTTTCCTGTTTGAGTAAAATTACTGAAACGGTTTACAAATTAAAATGCAATTTAAAAAATTTTTCCGCCATTTCCTGCTGGGCGATTTTACCAGTTGATACAGCCCTAGTCTGAATTAAGGCCACAAACCCATTTACCTGATGTCAGAGTCCAGGTTTCACATCACTAAGGAGTGGAGGCACCCAGCGTCCCTCAAAAAGCTGAGCCTGTTATTTGTTTCATATTGAAGTAAACTTTTAAAATACATGAAGTATGTGAATATATATATGAATATTTATATACAAATATGAACTAAAAATTGAAAATAAAACATGCCTTCTTTTTCATGGTGCATGTGTTACTTAAAAATTATAATAAAATAGTATTTAGATTGCACTGAATATGGATGGGATCCTGTAGGAAAACCAGATGTTACCATAGCTTTAGCAATTTGAAATACATGAACAGAATGCTGATGCTTGAACAGCAATGAAAATGGCAGAACAAAGCTAAACGCTCCTGTACCTGCATAACTCCTAAACGGAAAGCTCTACTTTGGGTTTCCCAACTCTGTGCACTGAGAAGAGAAGGGTGCTACCTCTGTTCATGCTAGGAGCAGAATTAAACATGAGTAGCTTGTGATCCTGTAAAATGAGGCTCAGTCTGGTGGTGGTCCAATAAAATACTTAATGTGGTGGGTTGGGCCTGGCTGGCAGCTAAGTCCACACCCAGTCGCTCGCTCGCTCGCTCACTCCCCCCCCAGTGGGATGGGAGAAAGAATCAGAAGACCAAAAAAATCAAGAAAACCTGTGGGCAGAGGTAGAGACAGCTTAATAGGTGAAGCAAAGCTGGGGTGCGAGCAAAGCAAAATAAGGAATTGATTCACTACTTCCCATCAGCAGGCAGATGTTTAGCCATTTCCTGGAAAGCAAGGCCTCAACATGCACAACAGTTACTTGGGAAGACAAATGCCATAGCTCTGAATGTCCCCGCTTCCTTTCCCTCAGCTTTTATTGCTGAGCACGATGTCATATGGTATGGAATATCCCTCTGGTCAGTTGGGGTCAGCTGTCTTGGTTGTGTCCTCTCTCAACTTCTCGTGCATCCCCAGCCTGCTCCCTTGGGGCAGGGAGAGGGGTCAGAGTGGGAGGAAGGAAAGGCCTTGACGCTGTGCAAGTGCTGTTCAGCAATAGCTAAAACACTGGTGTGTTATCAACACT